TTTGTCAGTTATTAAATTTGTATAGCTTTCTGCTATGATATGTAATCTTAGATAATCTTAAGTGCATATTGGTTTATGCTGCATATTTTTAAACTTTATAAGGTAGTCCTATAATTTGGTATAAACACTTTATTTCTAAATTATTGTGTTAATAAATTGTACTTGAATGAAATGGAAATACGTAACATTTAAAACAAATCATGTATTTGCCAAATACTATGGGGCAGTAATGAATCTGTAAGTGGAATGAAATCTTTGACCTTCCTGAAATTGCTCATGCCTGATAAAATTCCAATGGGTACAGTTTTTGAACAATTGAATATAGCAAAACAACCCTCCAATTAGGCTTGTTGTATAATACTTTAAAAGTTGGTCATATCGATGGCTTATATAATATTTCTTCATATAGCTAAAAATGTTTCATGCTTATTTGTTAAAACAGTTAAAGTAATTTAATTAAACTGTGTTCTCAACCTCTTTATTAGCTTTTCAGAACAATTAACTCAGCAGCAACATTCTGGAAAATATCAGGGTCGCATTATACTAATATATTAAATGCTGTATGCACAGACTAAGAGGCAACTGCTGCCCTGACAACTTCATAATGAAAATAAGAAGAAATAAGATGAGCATATTGATGTGTTGGGAAACCAGATACAGAAAGAGATGTCACTGTCTTCCTAGACAGTCTCATATGTCTTTATGTGTATCCTAACATGGTACACTATGATAACATGGGATAATGCAGAAATTAATGAAATTAATTAATTAATTCAAAGGGATATTCAGATGATATATGCATGAAACCTAAGGCTCTTGTTCAGCGAGTTAGGGAACAGAATTATAGCTTGCAATTATGCACCTAAACAAAATGAATTTTGAATACTTGCCAGTAAAATACCATAAATTAAGAGTTATTCACCAAGTACATATAGAAAAAGCGGTATTATCTTCACATAGGATTATAACATAAGAAAGGCTACGTAAGGCATAAGAAAGGCTGCATTGGGTCCAATGTCTTGTCTCCAAGAGTGTCAAAAATGCCTGCCTGTAAAACTGATAATACAGTATCTATCTTTCAAAAATAAGAAAAATCATTAACTTCTCAGTAGGAAGAAAAATATTTGGATTTTTTTTTTCCAAATCTTGCAGTTTATATTTATTCCTAGTTAAGTGTAATACCTGAACACTTAAACTACATGAAAGATCGGATAAGCAGTGTTGGAAGTGAGGAGGGCCATATGCCACCGAGGACCTGGAATCAAATCACATAAATTAGCCTCCTCAGCAAGTAACACAGAATTCATATGGATTAAAACTTTAGGCCTAAATAGAACTAAAGTCAATGTGGACCTGTATGACCAACGATCTGGCTCAGATGGCAACCCTGACTGAAGATCTTGAGCAGGGCGAATTGTGACTGCTAAGTTTCAAAACATTTTTTGCAACAGATAATCCACATTAGGAGATGCATACACAAAAATGTGGACACACAACCCTCCGGTTTTAGGAGATGAATGTAAAAATTCTTTCCACCATTTTGATTTAATTTTCATTCCTTAAAATTACTGCATCTGCATGCATTTCTGTCTCAAAAGAAAGAAATTAACCTATTTATCAGTGTATAAAGACATTTATTTTCTCACCTATTAGCAACAAAACAGGTGGAACAGATGACAGAAGACCAAGCTAAGAAGACTGAGAAAACCAGAGCAGTACAGAACAGCTGTCTATACTTACGCTGTATATACAATAGGATTAATACCATAGAATTCCAAGTAAATCTTTGCCTCTCATTTGAACTGTCCTTCAGAGGAAAATGTGTTATTTGCAATAGATGAAGTATTTCTCTGTGAAATAACTGCAGGTTTATGATGTAAGAGCACTAGCACCATGGTAAGAAAGCTGCAAATAGGTTGAAATGAAAAGCACAAATTAGGCTGGAGAATGACTTACAATCAGAACCTAAAACCTCAACTGTACATGGTGCCACTGAAGTTACAGGAGCTACAGATATGTAACTAGATTGTATGGAGTCTTGTTTGCGAAAGGTAGCTAAGGCACCATGGTAGTTTGGGGAGAAAAGTATAAAATGAATGAGCCATTAATGTGAGTTCAGTTTTAAAAGAGATCATAGAATCATAGAATCATTTAGGTTGGAGAAGACCTTTAAGATCATCAAGTTCAACCGTTAACCTAGCACTGCCAAGTCCACCACTAAACAACGTCCCTAAGTGCCACATCTACACGTCTTTTAAATACCTCCAGCGATGGTGACTCAACCACTTCCCTGGGCAGCCTGTTCCAATCCAATGCTTGACAACCCTTTCGGTGAAGAAATTTTTCCTAAAATCCAATCTAAACCTCCCCTGGCACAACCTGAGGCCGTTTCCTCTTGTCCTATCGCTTGTTATTTGGGAGAAGAGACCAACACCCACCTCGCTACAACCTCCTTTCAGGTAGCTGTAGAGAGTGATAAGGTCTCCCCTCAGCTTCCTCTTCTCCAGGCTAAACCACCCCAGTTCCCTCAGCTGCTCCTTATAAGACTTGTGCTCTAGACCCTTCATCAGCTTCGCTGCCCTTCTTTGGACACGCTCCAGCACCTCAATGTCCTTCTTGTAGTGAGGGGCCCAAAACTGAACACAGTATCCGAGGCGCGGCCTCACCAGTGCCGAGTACAGAGGGACAATCACTTCCCTACTCCTGCTGGTCGCACTATTTCTGATACAGGCCAGGATGCCATTGGCCTTCCTGGCCACCTGGGCACACTGCCGGCTCATGTTCAGCCGGCTGTCAACCAACAGCCCCAGGTCCTTTTCCGCCAGGCAGCTTTCCAGCCACTCTTCCCCAAGCCTGTAGTGTTGCATGGGGTTGTTGTGACCCAAAGATGTCTTGCTCTCCCAGTGAGAGACATATTTTTTAACATATATTTCATAGTTTATTATTAATCTGTAAAATGTGCTGTCTTTACACTAAAGTTTATTGTCATGTCTGGGTATCTTGTTGATGTGAGTGTATCAATTAATATTCCATTAAAAATACAGAGAATTCCATGTCCTGTTATCTCTGTAATATATTGAGTGGTTAAGGATAAAAAAGAACTCTCTTACTGTAGAATCACAGGACAAATAAATTGTTTTAATGACAATTATTATTGTCAATTAATGACAATAATTAATGTAATGGCAGAAACAATAATGTTATCTCTTGTAAGTGAACAGACTTCAGTTACAGACTACAGAAAATCAGTAAGATTTTCTTCCTAATATGCTTATAAATCACAGCAAGTTCCTTTACAAACTTATCCATTACAGCAATAAAATAAGCCTTTCCTTTGATAAAAAGAATTACATCCTGACATGTAATACAGTTGAACGGTAGAGTGATATGAATTCACTAAAATACTATTTTCTGTTAGATTAATTTACATAGCAACATAGCAATGAATAATTGATTTCTATCTGCTCTCAGATTGTCCTTTTGAGACATGATCCTGTAACTCTTGTGTTTGTGATTCATCTAATTGTTCTTTATGGATACAAGTAACATAGGAAACCACCTTTTCATATAATGGGCAAAATCTTACCACCATTATTGGTGAATGCCTGTTTCTGTACAGCCAATTATTTGAAGAACTCTCTAGATTGAGGTATAGAAATGAACATTTGAGGGATTTTTTCAAGGACTGAAATATGCCTATGTTTGTTTATGCGTCTTCTATGCTTTTGGTGGTAGAACTGAATAAAATAAGTAAGGTATGATATTTCCCCACTCCTGTCTCCAAAACTGCTCAAAGTAAGTAAATTAAATTTTTTCACATTAACACTGTTTAAAACTCAGTTCTATTTGAGAAGCAAATTAATTGCTCCTTCCTGAAGTGGATTGGCTTATAATAAAATCCCGGTAACGTGAATCAGGAGCTCACTACTATTGTAGATAATAAAGCACTTCCTGTTACAATGCTAGCATCTGTTAATATCTATCTCATAATGTTTTCCTATACTTAGAACAGAAAAAAAAAAATTATTGAGAGCATTGTCAGGCAAGTGATAAAGTACCACCTCTGTCAATATATATTTCATAGATACCCTGGCTCTTGTTGCTATGAACTGAGTGTTTGACTTAGAAGTAATATTTATAACAAAAGCTAATTAACCACTACATCATTTAGCATATTATTAGTGATTATAGATATTAATAATATTGCCAGTAGTTAATAAACTATCCTAATGTATTCAGAATTTTAAATTGCTTGGAAGGTTGAACCTGAATGAAGTTACTGAAAGTATGGCTATTTTGTCTTTAAATATTTCTGAAAATTTTATCCTTCACCAACAGTGTGCTTCCATCTGACTGTAAAACCCTATCCAGCTATAATAGACATTTAATAGCATATATTCCTTTTTCAAACATGCCTTCGTATGACCTCTTGCCTTTCCAGCAAGTATGAAAATTGTGGGATTGGGCCTCCAATGTCACTATAAGCAAGAATGGTGTTCTTTCATTTGTCACTGTTGATCTTTCTGTTGATTGAATCTGTATTCCTTTTAAATAAACAGTGTAGAGCAATTCTTATAATAATACTTTTTCTGTATTTTTATAGGTGTCATTGGTTAGTTTAATAGCCAATGCTTTGGGCTATTCTGAACTTGGTGCCATTAAATCGCTTCGGACATTAAGAGCTTTAAGGCCTTTAAGAGCCTTGTCACGATTTGAAGGAATGAGGGTGAGAGATGAATGAGTCTGAATGAATGTATGCATACAAAAATTAATGTGGAAGTGTGACACTCATACCTTCTGCAAAGAACTCCAGAATGGGAATGCATGCAAAAACGTTTGGAAAAAAGGCGTTCCAACATGTCCTTATACACAAGACGTGTACAGCTTACATTTGGAGATTAGACCTTGAGCCCGTTAAATTTGCCTGCTCACTGCTGCATAGTTATGTTATGTTTGACTGTTCAAATTTCCATTGATCTGTGGACCTGTATAGAAAAGTAAAAGGATATGAGAAATTTTAGAACAGAGGATCAGTGGTTTTTTCTCCAGTTTAGCCAGGGACTTTATTTTATAAATATCTGTAGCTAATTTCTATTCTCTGTTAGTTTGTCAGTGGTTCAGGATGGAACAGGATTAGCTGGAAACCAAACCAAACCAAACAAACCAAACCAAACCAAACCAAACAAAACAAAACAAAAAAGGTGAATAAGCTGAGAACAAGTGACACAGCAGAAACTAAAGCTTTCCTGTGGCTCCCTGTCTACCCGCCTGGGGAAAAAAATCCCACAATAAATGCTGTAGTATTAGGGAAAGGTTCTCTGAACAGATACCTGAAATAAGGATGGGGTTGGAAGTATAGAAGGGGAGAGATGGGAAATAATTTCCTCAACTAGTGTCCTTTACTTCATATGAATGCGTCTGCTGCCATCTTACCTCTCCTCCTACACAGCTAAATCCTTCCTGTTGAGGAAATTATTATTTTCATATTCTGCCAATCTGACAAAAAAAAACCCAAACAAAAACCTATTACAAGCTGTCTGCTGAAAATGCAGACTATGCTATTTCCTGGAAAAACTGATGCATAAAAAATTAACAAGGTAATGTTATTGAGAAATCTCCTTTTAATCTTTCACCTCAAAATACCCAGATGCTGCAATACATGTTTACAGTTTGGTCAGAGGTCTTAAGTTTCCAACTAAATAGTGTGGTTCCTGTCTGGGTTGAGGCTGCTGATATTCTAGAGGTGGCCACACTAGCTAGTGTAGGGGAGTGTGTCCTGTGGCACATCACTATCACCACTATGTTTTACATGATTTGCACTGCAAACACCACCTAAGTCCCTATCTAATAAATGGGCAAAACCTCTATTGATCTTAGACTACTTTCAGTCAAATTAGTGAACTGAAAAATACTACTATTTTCAAAACCATACAGAAAAAACTACTGCAGTCTCTACTGATTTGGTAGAAAATTATTGTCTGAATATCTGCAGCTTTCTTAGTTCAATCACAATACTTAATTAAAGGAAAATTTTTGTCGAGGGATTTAATCTGATCTTTTACTATCGCTTGCCCATATAGAGTAGCTCAATTGTATAAAATGCAGCCAATTAAAAAAAAACCCTAATGGATAAGTGTAAGAGCAACTATAGTGAGCCAGGCAATTTAAAACCAAGACTTAGAGTAAAGGCTGTTAATAAAAACTGAGTAAGATGTGTTTAATTATGTTACGTAGTATGTAGATGCTAAAATACAGTTGTGCCAACATATACATAAAGTTTCTGAAAATAAAATCATTAGCAATGATAGTTTTACATGCAGACATTTTTATTCAGTCTTCCACATCATCATTCTTTGATCTTTTTCTAGTTTATTTTCTATTAACAGATTTTGATTTGCATTGTTGGAATTTAACATTTATTTCTCTTTTTTTCTCTAGAGCACACAAATTCTAAGAATCCATCTTGCTACTAACAGGTTTTCTTTTGCTTTTGGAGTTTTTTTCAGACTTTTGCATTGTCTTGGTTTCCATATAATTTTATTTCTTGCTTTTTGCAATCTCATTAGTGTTTTTATTGAACCTTAAATAATGTTTGCCCCTTACATTTTTATGTAATATTTTAACTATACATTCTGTATTAATACTGTTTTAACATTTTTAAAGTATTTTTATTTTTCTGTTCATAAACTAAGTGGTTATTTTGTCTAATTTGTACACTAGGTGGTTGTAAATGCCCTTGTAGGAGCAATTCCATCTATCATGAATGTATTGCTGGTTTGTCTTATATTCTGGCTCATCTTCAGCATCATGGGAGTAAATCTGTTTGCTGGCAAATTCTATCACTGTGTCAACACCACAACTGGTGAGATGTTTGATGTCAGTGATGTCAACAATTATACTCAGTGTGAGGAACTCATAAAAAACAATCAAAGTGCCCGATGGAAAAATGTGAAAGTAAACTTTGATAATGTAGGAGCTGGATATCTTGCTCTGCTTCAAGTAGTAAGTAAATTTATATATTTTCTTTTTGCTCTTTTTAAAGAAGTCTAGGAAAAATGGGCAAGTTAAGACTGTTAAGTAGTGGAATAATTTCTTCATAGTAATGATGTACAGCTTACACAACTCTATTGCATGGTTACCTTTAAGTTTTGTATATAAAAATATATCAACCTGGTGCCTCCCGTGCAGATATTTGTTTAATAGGGGCTTGATTTTCCAGACCTGGAAGTGGGTTTAGGGAAGGGAATCATAAATAATGCAAGATATGAGACTGGGGCACACAATGTTTCATGTAGTATGGAGCCAATTCTTTATTATCATAATCCCACATAACTAAAAGGAACAGACTCTGTTCATAATCAAAACATACATGGCAGTTTAGCCGTAGCAAAAACATTCAGATGCATGTTGGTATCTGTCCAGAAGTTGTGTGGCTGACTCTATCAATTCATGCTGTAAACCTGATAAAACGCTGTCACCATGAGTGATTCTAGTAGATTCTACCTGAACATCTCCAGCATTAATGTCTATCTGAACCTACCATTCTTCATCTGCAAAGTAAGCATCTGCAGCTCCAAGGGCACACTGTGCCCTTGCTGAGACCTTCAGAGCCTGATTTTTAATATTTTTTGAATACCTAGAAAATAATTTCTCAACAAAACTAGTATTACTATGAAAAATATTTTATTATGCCTGTTTTATTAGATGTGGTTTATAAATTTAGGTATGATTTTATTAAAAGTTAAGGTCCAAATGCTGTGACCTAGTTATTTTCCACAGAATGAATTTTTATAGGGAAGACAAACAACTGTATTTTATTTCTAGGCTACTTTCAAAGGATGGATGGATATTATGTATGCTGCAGTTGATTCACGAGATGTAAGTGTAAGACTTTCAAAGATCATCCATTAGTTATATTCTGTTATAGAGTACAGAATTTAAACAGCTACACATACAATAACATTAAGAATTATAATCAGCACCAATACATATTTTTTCCAGATACATTTAGTCTAGAAAGGAACTTTTATGTAACTTCATGAATCTTAGAATTTGTAGTGGAAAGAATTAATCCCACTTCCTTCTGTTTAGCCAAATAAGTTAAATTAACTTAACTGGACTTTTTTTGGAAAAGCTAACGTTAATGAAAAAAACAAAGAGGGTTTTTTTTAACCACTTCATAGAATCATAGAATAGTTTGGGTTGGAAGGGACCTCTAAAGGTCATCTAGTCCAACCCCCCTGCCATGGGCTGGGACATCTTCAACTAGATCAGGTTGCTCAGAGCCCCGTCCAACCTGACCTTGAATGCTTCCAGGGATGGGGCATCCACCACCTCTCTGGGAAACCTGGGCCAGTGTTTCACCACCCCCAGCATAAAAAATGTCTTCCTTCTATCTAGTCTATATCTACCCCCCCTTTAGTTTAAAGCCATTCCCCCTTGTCCTGTCGCAACAGGCCCTGCTCAAAAGTCTGCCGCCATCATTTTTATAAGCCCCCTTTAAGTACTGATAGGCTGCAAGAAGGTCTCCCCGAAGCCTTCTCTTCTCTAGGCTGAATAACCCCAACTCTCTCAGCCTTTCTTCATAGGAGAGGTGTTCCATC